TGTGTTTTCAGAGAAAAGGCAGTGTTTACATTAGAGCCTGGGGATACCTCCACAGGCCACTCCCCAGATGGCTATTAGATGTACTTCCTAGGGCAGTGCTGCACGTTGTGCTCTGCATGGAGACCCTGAGCTTCCCTCATTGATTCATTGTATCTCTATGAGGATATACTGATTGGCCAGGGCTGTGTTTGGTTCCGCCCACTGTAAAATCTTACCTTAATTCCAGTCTGCTGGCACTGGCTCCACCCTGATCTGCCTCTTTGGCTGAGATCAGAATCAATGATCTCAGCCAATCCAATGGTTTCGTATGGGAAAGCATTGTGATTGGCTAAGATCATCACTTCTGATAATGTCAGCCACGGAGGCAGATCCAGCAGCATCATTGTGGGGGGGGGCACACAGGTTTTTACTTGATACCCCTCACTTAAACTTAATAATTAAAAAAATATATATTATTATTATTTATATAGTGCCATCAGATTCCGTAGTGCTGTACAGAGGGAATCGCTGTACAAATAATCTTCATATACCAGGAATAACTTACCTGGAACACAGTGCGAGGTAAAGTTCAACTCGCTGCCTTCTATGTCCGTCCGATGTCACTCTTTCCGCTCCGTGGGCCAATCAATTGCTTCTTATAGAGAAACATTGGATTAGACTAGGGGTGGGCAATCTGTGGCCCTCCAGATGTTTTGGACTACATCTCCCATAATGCTCTTCGGGCCATAATGCTAGCAAACCATCAAGGGAGATGTAGTCCAAAACATCTGGAGGGCCGCAGATTGCCCGGCCCTGGATTAGACCATTCTCACTGGCACATAGACGAATGGAGATAAAAAATAAACAAAGGATGCACGTTAAGGACAATAGGGAGGCTGTGAGAACTGAAGGGCAGGGTAGGGAGAGGGCATTAAAGTTCTCATTGTAGAAGCTGATAACTTCTGTCGCCAGCGTGCTGATAGATATATTTTGCTTATATTTACCAGCTCTGTTCCTATGTCACGTGCCCCAGGATAGTGTCGTGCGACTAGCCCCAAACACAACACTGAAGATATCTCTGTGTTTGCAGCATATTTCAAGATTTCTTCCTCCATGACCACTTCCAAAAACAGAAGTGGTCATGGTGGTTGGAGTAACCCTTTAACTACCAGTAAGAGATCAAGCATGCTGGGAAATAAAAGGATTTGGCTATGGTTCTTTTAAGGTGTAAATACGGTCCCATTTGTTTTATTTCTTGTCCACTCTCAGGTCCCTGAATCTCTTGATTAAAAACAGTCAGCATTCTAACAGCATTATAGTCCCAAACCTTTATATCAGAATATTGTACCTTCCAAGACGAAGCCATGGCACAACCGTACTGACCGATTTTAGACGAATTATCTCAATTTTAATGGACTATCCAAGTATCATAATCTTCGCTCCCTGCCCAAATTGTGATAAGAAGAATCCATGCTTTATAGCTCCATCACACCCTTCATATGTTATAGACATTGCTGCCCCTCTCCTTAGAGGTACTTTGTTAGAGAGTGCCCATCGTACCAGTCACAGCAGTGCTCTAATACAGCTTATTCACAATTCTCATTTTAGCTTCAAACGCCAAGCTTTCATCCAGCATTTCTCAAAATAGTAAAATAAAATCAGCCAAATGTCCTTGGTATTAATGAGTATATCGATTTCTTTTACTGAACGCTAACTGTATGATGGACTGATATTTATCAAGGTGAAGTCCTGAGTCAATGACAAACTCCTAATTGTGTGTCTTTTGAGTTTTAGATGATCGTACAACAGACTCGCCAATAAATGACTGGACTTCGCAGGGAGAGGAATTTGTCAAATTCTCAGTAATTGGGACTTGCGATACAAACGGGGATGTGGTAGATTAAGCCTCCAACATGTTCTCTGGAGCTGAGATTATACTTAAAACAAAATAATATTGTATTGCTACCGAAGATATATTCATTCACACTGTTAGTTATCGTTTACTTTATTTATTAGGCTGCAGCTGTTACGAACTATTCAAATTACTTTATCTACGCTAAACTAATCGATCCATCTGTGATTTAGCTGTGAAGTTTATTTAATAAATAAGATTAGACTACGAACAATTGAATTCAATATACATACTATACACTAATAGTTTTGCTCTTTAATTTCAGAAACTCTTACGGAATATCGTCGTTCTTGTGCCGAAATTTGTCCCATAGGAATGAATGGCAAAGCTAGAGTGGGAGCTGGCAAAAGCTGAAAAATCAGGACATGATTTCTAAACTGCCACCACTCCCTTATTTTCAGGCCCACCTACACAAATCTTATATCAAAGCGTTCAGCTATCCCTGCTGCCACTAAACATGTCAACGGCTAAGCCATAGTCCTGATAGGTTTCACAATATAATCATTTGTTTGCAACTAACACCGTCCATTGACATTCATTGAAACTTCACTCTGCAAAGCTCAAATTTGAAGTGCAATTTCTAAACTGCGACTGTGCCTTCATTTTTTAATACTTCAGAGACATACTATGCATCAAAATGTAGGTCTGGGTCTTGTGATTCTCACAATATAAAGCTCTTCGCTGTAGGATTTATAGTTTTTAAAATATGACCGTTTGAAGATGGCAACCACCAAAATACTCTGACCTGTCAAGGCTGCAGCAGCAAGTGATGTCATAGACAGGGCCTTTTGAACACCTGCTAATGTTTTTTATAAATGTATGGTTTAATGTAACTGTGCAACAACGTTGCAATTAAATGTGCTATATAAATGATAACAGTTACTCCGCCCACTCCAGTTGTAGACTACTGGTGGAGGCAAGAACACTTCACACAATTTCCCCAGAAATTGTAGCTTTTCTAGTTTCTCTCTGTAATGTTAAAATGTTACAAAGGCGCTATATAAAGAATAAAATAATATTATACCAGTGTCTGTATATACATGAATACATTACATGTTATATGATTTAGCCAGCAGGTAGCGCTGTATAAATAAAATAATATTATACCAGTGTCTGTTTATACAGGATATATATTACATGTAGTTATATGATTTAGCCAGCAGGTGGCGCTGTATAAATAATATACCAGTGTCTTTATACAGGATATATATTACATGTAGTTATATGGTTTAGCCAGCAGGTGGCACTATATGAATAATAAAATATTATACCAGTGTCTGTTTATACAGGATATATATTACATGTAGTTATATGGTTTAGCCAGCAGGTGGCGCTATATAAATAATATTAAACCAGTGTCTGTTTATACAGGAAATATATTACATGTAGTTATATGGTGTAGCCAGCAGGTGGCACTGTATAATATATATTACATGTAGTTAGACGGTGTAGCCAGCAGGTGGCGCATATATTACATGTAGTTAGACGGTGTAGCCAGCAGGTGGCGCTGTATAATATATATTACATGTAGTTAGATGGTGTGGCCAGCAGGTGGCGCTGTATAATATATATTACATGTAGTTAGATGGTGTAGCCAGCAGGTGGCGCTGTATAATATATATTACATGTAGTTAGATGGTGTAGCCAGCAGGTGGCGCTGTATAATATATATTACATGTAGTTAGATGGTGTAGCCAGCAGGTGGCGCTGTATAATATATATTACATGTAGTTAGATGGTGTAGCCAGCAGGTGGCGCTGTATAATATATATTACATGTAGTTAGATGGTGTGGCCAGCAGGTGGCGCTGTATAATATATATTACATGTAGTTAGATGGTGTAGCCAGCAGGTGGCGCTGTATAATATATATTACATGTAGTTAGATGGTGTAGCCAGCAGGTGGCGCTGTATAATATATATTACATGTAGTTAGATGGTGTGGCCAGCAGGTGGCGCTGTATAATATATATTACATGTAGTTAGATGGTGTAGCCAGCAGGTGGCGCTGTATAATATATATTACATGTAGTTAGACGGTGTGGCCAGCAGGTGGCGCTGTATAATATATATTACATGTAGTTAGACGGTGTAGCCAGCAGGTGGCGCTGTATAATATATATTACATGTAGTTAGACGGTGTAGCCAGCAGGTGGCGCTATATAATATATATTACATGTAGTTAGACGGTGTAGCCAGCAGGTGGCGCTGTATAATATATATTACATGTAGTTAGACGGTGTAGCCAGCAGGTGGCGCTGTATAATATATATTACATGTAGTTAGACGGTGTAGCCAGCAGGTGGCGCTGTATAATATATATTACATGTAGTTAGATGGTGTGGCCAGCAGGTGGCGCTGTATAATATATATTACATGTAGTTAGATGGTGTGGCCAGCAGGTGGCGCTGTATAATATATATATTACATGTAGTTAGATGGTGTAGCCAGCAGGTGGCGCTGTATAATATATATTACATGTAGTTAGATGGTGTAGCCAGCAGGTGGCGCTGTATAATATATATTACATGTAGTTAGATGGTGTGGCCAGCAGGTGGCGCTGTATAATATATATTACATGTAGTTAGACGGTGTGGCCAGCAGGTGGCGCTGTATAATATATATTACATGTAGTTAGACGGTGTAGCCAGCAGGTGGCGCTGTATAATATATATTACATGTAGTTAGATGGTGTAGCCAGCAGGTGGCGCTGTATAATATATATTACATGTAGTTAGATGGTGTAGCCAGCAGGTGGCGCTGTATAATATATATTACATGTAGTTAGATGGTGTAGCCAGCAGGTGGCGCTGTATAATATATATTACATGTAGTTAGACGGTGTAGCCAGCAGGTGGCGCTATATAATATATATTACATGTAGTTAGACGGTGTAGCCAGCAGGTGGCGCTATATAATATATATTACATGTAGTTAGATGGTGTAGCCAGCAGGTGGCGCTGTATAATATATATTACATGTAGTTAGATGGTGTAGCCAGCAGGTGGCGCTGTATAATATATATTACATGTAGTTAGATGGTGTAGCCAGCAGGTGGCGCTGTGTGCGGCGGTGAAACTACTTGTCCCGGCGTCCCCTGCGGCTGTCGCCTGGCAGTGACGTCACGGTGTGCAGGCATGGCTGTGGATGGAGCTGCTGGCAGGTTGCTGTCTCTGAGCGGTTTGTTTCCGGTTTATAAACCCAGAGGGCCGACATCAGCGCAGCTTCTCGGAGAGCTCAAAGGGAAACTGCTGCGAGGTCAGCAACTCCCATCACACTCAGCCAGGCCCAGCTGTACAACATCCACCCCTGACTGCATCTCCCATCACACTCAGCCAGGCCCAGCTATACAACATCCACCCCTGACTGCAACTCCCATCACACTCAGCCAGGCCCAGCTGTACAACATCCACCCCTGACTGCATCTCCCATCACACTCAGCCAGGCCCAGCTATACAACATCCACCCCTGACTGCAACTCCCATCACACTCAGCCAGGCCCAGCTGTACAACATCCACCCCTGACTGCAACTCCCATCACACTCAGCCAGGCCCAGCTGTACAACATCCACCCCTGACTGCAACTCCCATCACACTCAGCCAGGCCCAGCTATACAACATCCACCCCTGACTGCAACTCCCATCACACTCAGCCAGGCCCAGCTGTACAACATCCACCCCTGACTGCAACTCCCATCACACTCAGCCAGGCAGAGCAATCTATATCTTCCTGACTGTAACTCTCATCACACTCAGCCACCCCATATACATATTTATTATCCATCCCTGACTGCATCTCCCATCACACTCAGCCAGGCCCAGCTGTACAACATCCACCCCTGACTGCAACTCCCATCACACTCAGCCCAGCTGTACAACATCCACCCCTGACTGCATCTCCCATCACACTCAGCCAGGCCCAGCTGTACAACATCCACCCCTGACTGCAACTCCCATCACACTCAGCCAGGCAGAGCAATCTATATCTTCCTGACTGTAACTCTCATCACACTCAGCCACCCCATATACATATTTATTATCCATCCCTGACTGCATCTCCCATCACACTCAGCCAGGCAGAGCAATATATAGTATCTGTCCCTGACTGTAACTCCCATCACACTCAGCCACCCCATATAGATATATTATCCATCCCTGACTGTTACTCCCATCTATATACACTGAACAAAATTATAAACGCAACACTTTTGTTTTTGGCCCCATTTGTCCACCAGAGCTGTTGCCCGTGAATTGAATGTTCATTTCTCTATCTACCATAAGCCGTCACCAAAGGCGTTTCAGAGAATTTGGCAGTACATCCAACCTTTAAGTGCAGTGACAATCTTGAGAAACTTACACAGACCTAAAAAGGGAACAAGAAAATATAGCGCAGACGGTTTATCCAGATAGGCAATTGATGGTAATAAATGGCTTAAACCACTCACATGGACAGGAGCCTATATATTGGCTCCGTAAAGAAGGTCCTTAATGCTCTTTGGGCAGCAAACACCCTTTTGTCCCAGGCAGTATCACTCCAGGAGTATACAGCGAGAGAGAAAACAGAGTAGCAACTGTGTAGAAAGGCACATACTATATTGGTATAAATAGTAGTGCTCACCTTTTCCAGAGCCCTGAAATCCCGGTTCTGAGGTTAGAAAGCAATGTGCTATTTGTGGGGGGGAATAGCACTCTCCCCAATGGAGTTCCTGACGGCTAGAAAGGACTTTGGACTAACGTATAAAATAATAATAATGTTTATATTTATTAACAATAAAAATAAATACATACTAAAAAATAAAAAGTCAAAAATCAAGTTGAAGTCAAATTAAAAGTCAAAAATATTCAGCTAAACGCGTTTCACTCTATGAGCTTCCTATTTTGGATTCCTGGCCACCACTAGCATCACACACAACCACCCAAATCATATATCTGTGTAACACCTAGTGACCTGGCACACTGCTCTAACCACTCACATTCCATTTAGCACACCCATCCTGCTCCATAGATCTGACTGCTCTCTCCCTATTCTGTGTGCAAGCAACTATTATTAATGTTTTCAGGCGAATCCGCCAAGAATGATAAACTCTGTAATTTTACCTAATTTTCCATGATTATTCACTTTACTGTCATTTTACCTCTATTGTTGCTGTAGATTCTGTATTGGCATCAACAACTTCCTGTCTGGTCTTGTGTTACAGGAAAAGCGCTGCCCAGCTGTGTGTTATCTTGCAAAAATAGTCATGAGGTTCCTATAGGAACAGATGTATATTTTCCCCTCTGATAGTGTACTCTACGTGTACATTCGCCTGCAGTCCTTATTAATGTGTGTTAGCAGTACAGAGCCCATATAACCTGTGCTAGACATTACAGTGTGGCTTTGTGGGCTCTCTTTTCAGTGGACTTACCCCTGCGTGTCAGTCCAAATACCCCTATCCAGGGTGGGTAGAAGGATTTTTACTGCCCTCCTTCTTTCTCCAAGTTTCTTTTTTTAGTGTCTTCCTTTCCAACATTCACTACATGTATCTGTTCCCCAACTCCTGTCTTTTAAACGATCACTATAGTGTCAGGAAAACAAAGCGGTCCCCCTCCTGTGGTGCTGAAGGGGTTAAAAATATGATAGAAACATTTAAATACATAAAGGGAATCAACACAGTAAAGGAGGAGACTATATTTAAAAGAAGAAAAACTACCACAACAAGAGGTCGTAGTCTTAAATTAGAGGGACAAAGGTTTAAAAATAATATCAGGAAGTATTACTTTACTGAGAGGGTAGTGGATGCATGGAATAGCCTTCCAGCTGAAGTGGTAGAGGTTAACACAGTAAAGGAGTTTAAGCATGCGTGGGATAGGCATAAGGCTATCCTAACTATAAGATAAGACTAGGGACTAATGAAAGTATTTAGAAAATTGGGCAGACTAGATGGGCCGAATGGTTCTTATCTGCCGTCACATTCTATGTTTCTATGTAATCTGAACTCTCTGCTCAGCTCCCTCGCGTGACCCGCAGTGATGCCGGGCTCCAGAATGTGACATCACTCTGGCGCCCGACATCACTAAGCGGCGCAAGGAAGCTGAACAGGAGGATCAAAACTCCCGCACCGCCTATTTTGCACACCCACTCCCCTCCCCCTCTTTCACCCCTCACAATGTCTGCCAGCCCAGCAGCCCCACTGGACCCCAAGTAAAAATCCAGCCAGCTCTCCCAAAGATAGTGAGGCTGGGTAGATTTTAATTAATATAAAATAAATAATTATTTGTAAATGTTGGGGGGAAATGTGTGTGTTTGTGAGTAAATGTGTTGTTATATCTGTCAGTGTGTCTGAGTAAATGTACCTGTCAGTGAGTTTGTCAGTCAATGAATGTGTGTATGTGTCTGTCTGTCTGTCAGTGAATGTGTGTTTATATCTGTGAGTGTGTTTGTCAGAGAATGTGTGTTTCTGTAAAGGAGTATGTGTGTACGTATGTCTATCAGTGTGTGCCTGTGAGTGTGTGTGTCTGTCAATGTGTGTTTGTCAGTGAGTGTGTGCGTATCTTTCAGTGTGTGTCTGTCAGATTGTGTCAAATCAGTGAGTGTATGTCAGTGTATGCTGGTCAGTGAGTGGGTGTGTCTGTGTGTGTCAGTAAAAGCATGTGTTAGTCTTTAACAGGAAGATGTATGACCTTGACCGGAAGAAGGAGTGGGGCAAATTTAAATTAGGGGTGTCTGAGTTCCGTCATGCCAAGGCCAGCACAAATTCAAAATACACCACTGGATATATTATATGTATATATGATATATAAACATACACTGATATATCATATGTAAATATAATATCTCAACATATACTGATATATCGTATGGAAATATGATATCTCAACATATACTGATATATCGTATGGAAATATAATATCTCAACATATACTGATATATCGTATGGAAATATAATATCTCAACATATACTGATATATCGTATGGAAATATAATATCTCAACATACACTGATATATCTTATGGAAATATAACATCTCAACATATACTGATATATCGTATGGAAATATAACATCTCAACATATTCTGATATATCGTATGGAAATATATCTCAACATACACTGATATATCGTATGGAAATATAATATCTCAACATATTCTGATATATCGTATGGAAATATAATATCTCAACATACACTGATATATCGTATGGAAATATAATATCTCAACATACACTGATATATCTTATGGAAATATAATATCTCAACATATACTGATATATCGTATGGAAATATAATATCTCAACATATACTGATATATCGTATGGAAATATAATATCTCAACATATACTGATATAGCGTATGGAAATATAATATCTCAACATACTCTGATATATCGTATGGAAATATAACATCTCAACATACACTGATATATCGTATGGAAATATAATATCTCAACATACACTGATATATCGTATGGAAATATAATATCTCAACATATTCTGATATATCGTATGGAAATATAACATCTCAACATACTCTGATATATCGTATGGAAATATAATATCTCAACATATACTGATATATCGTATGGAAATATAATATCTCAACATATACTGATATATCGTATGGAAATATAATATCTCAACATATACTGATATATCGTATGGAAATATAATATCTCAACATATACTGATATATCGTATGGAAATATAATATCTCAACATATTCTGATATATCGTATGGAAATATAATATCTCAACATATACTGATATATCGTATGGAAATATAATATCTCAACATATACTGATATATCGTATGGAAATATAATATCTCAACATATACTGATATATCGTATGGAAATATAATATCTCAACATACTCTGATATATCGTATGGAAATATAATATCTCAACATACACTGATATATCTTATGGAAATATAATATCTCAACATACACTGATATATCGTATGGAAATATAATATCTCAACATATACTGATATATCGTATGGAAATATAATATCTCAACATATTCTGATATATTGTATGGAAATATAATATCTCAACATACACTGATATATCTTATGGAAATATAATATCTCAACATATACTGATATATCGTATGGAAATATAACATCTCAACATATTCTGATATATCGTATGGAAATATAATATCTCAACATACACTAATATATCGTATGGAAATATAATATCTCAACATATTCTGATATATCGTATGGAAATATAATATCTCAACATACACTGATATATCGTATGGAAATATAATATCTCAACATATACTGATATATCGTATGGAAATATAATATCTCAACATACACTGATATATCTTATGGAAATATAACATCTCAACATATTCTGATATATCGTATGGAAATATAATATCTCAACATACACTGATATATCTTATGGAAATATAACATCTCAACATATACTGATATATCGTATGGAAATATAACATCTCAACATATTCTGATATATCGTATGGAAATATATCTCAACATACACTGATATATCGTATGGAAATATAATATCTCAACATATTCTGATATATCGTATGGAAATATAATATCTCAACATACACTGATATATCGTATGGAAATATAATATCTCAACATACACTGATATATCTTATGGAAATATAATATCTCAACATATACTGATATATCGTATGGAAATATAATATCTCAACATATACTGATATATCGTATGGAAATATAATATCTCAACATATACTGATATATCGTATGGAAATATAATATCTCAACATATACTGATATATCGTATGGAAATATAATATCTCAACATATACTGATATATCGTATGGAAATATAATATCTCAACATATACTGATATATCGTATGGAAATATAATATCTCAACATATACTGATATATCGTATGGAAATATAATATCTCAACATATACTGATATATCGTATGGAAATATAATATCTCAACATATTCTGATATATCGTATGGAAATATAATATCTCAACATATACTGATATATCGTATGGAAATATAATATCTCAACATATACTGATATATCGTATGGAAATATAATATCTCAACATACTCTGATATATCGTATGGAAATATAATATCTCAACATACACTGATATATCTTATGGAAATATAATATCTCAACATACACTGATATATCGTATGGAAATATAATATCTCAGCATATTCTGATATATCGTATGGAAATATAATATCTCAACATACACTGATATATCGTATGGAAATATAATATCTCAACATATACTGATATATCGTATGGAAATATAATATCTCAACATATTCTGATATATCGTATGGAAATATAATATCTCAACATACACTGATATATCGTATGGAAATATAATATCTCAACATACACTGATATATCGTATGGAAATATAATATCTCAACATATACTGATATATCGTATGGAAATATAATATCTCAACATATTCTGATATATCGTATGGAAATATAATATCTCAACATATACTGATATATCGTATGGAAATATAATATCTCAACATATACTGATATATCGTATGGAAATATAATATCTCAACATATTCTGATATATCGTATGGAAATATAATATCTCAACATACACTGATATATCTTATGGAAATATAATATCTCAACATACACTGATATATCGTATGGAAATATAATATCTCAACATATTCTGATATATCGTATGGAAATATAATATCTCAACATACACTGATATATCGTATGGAAATATAATATCTCAACATACACTGATATATCTTATGGAAATATAATATCTCAACATATACTGATATATCGTATGGAAATATAATATCTCAACATATACTGATATATCGTATGGAAATATAATATCTCAACATATACTGATATATCGTATGGAAATATAATATCTCAACATATCTGATATATCGTATGGAAATATAATATCTCAACATACACTGATATATCGTATGGAAATATAATATCTCAACATATACTGATATATCGTATGGAAATATAATATCTCAACATATTCTGATATATCGTATGGAAATATAATATCTCAACATACTCTGATATATCGTATGGAAATATAATATCTCAACATATACTGATATATCGTATGGAAATATAATATCTCAACATATACTGATATATCGTATGGAAATATAATATCTCAACATATACTGATATATCGTATGGAAATATAATATCTCAACATATTCTGATATATCGTATGGAAATATAATATCTCAACATACACTGATATATCTTATGGAAATATAATATCTCAACATACACTGATATATCGTATGGAAATATAATATCTCAGCATATTCTGATATATCGTATGGAAATATAATATCTCAACATACACTGATATATCGTATGGAAATATAATATCTCAACATATACTGATATATCGTATGGAAATATAATATCTCAACATATTCTGATATATCGTATGGAAATATAATATCTCAACATACACTGATATATCGTATGGAAATATAATATCTCAACATATTCTGATATATCGTATGGAAATATAATATCTCAACATATACTGATAGAGATATATATATGTATATATATCCATATCCTATGGGGAAGCATTGGATTGGCTGAGATTGTCAATATTGATGATCTTGGCTGTGGCGTCACTAGCACTGGGAAATGTGAGTAAAAACATTTTCCCATGTGATTTGGAGGTGGTCAGGTCACTAAACATACACACTCACCGACAGACACGCAGTGATTTGATACACATACAGGCACACACTGATATTGCAACACTCACTCACAAATTATTTGTATTGCTTTAATGTGTCCACCCAACCTCCCTACCTTTGGGAGAGCTGGAGTGGATCAGTTTCCCTGGGGTTCAGTGGGGCTGCTTTTATGTCCCTGCTCTGCATGCTCTCGCACCGTTTAGCGTGCGGGGTGCTGGAGTGACGTCATATTCCGGCTCCCGGCATCACTGGAGGGTGCGCGGGGGAGCGGAGCAGGGAGATTACTGCCTGATTCCCTCAGCTCCCCATGAATTAGCTGTCCGTCTCGTCTCTCAGGCAGCTGGTCAGCACGGGGCCTGAACGGGCTCGCAAAGCTCCGATAAATACACATATGCTGATCGGTATATACAATGTATGCAGATACACTGATAGATGTAATATATATATATTTAGCACTGTTTTTGAGGTCTGTTTAATTATATAATTGTTTGTTTTTGCACTAAAACAGTAAAAACTCTCAGTAAATTTTTTTAGTGTTTTTGTTTGTTTTGCAGAAGCTGGACTCAAGGAATATATGAAGAAAAGAAAGCAAACTCTGAAAATAGGACACGGAGGGACCCTTGACAGCTCTGCTTCCGGCGTACTGGGTAAACCCATAGTACACCAATAGTGCCAACATGCTCTACAGCGTTGTACAAAATATGGAACAGTTTGTCAGAATATTCACACAGCGTGGGCAGATCCAGCAGTTATCACATCGGTCTATAGTGATGGATAGTATTAACTGTGACATACGGCAGTAATAGATTAAACTCACAAGATGGAAATTCAGGAAGCGCCTCAAAGCCCAGAACAGGGCTACAATGGCTCCACCTTACGTAGTAATGGATAAGCTGCAGGCACAGGAACTTCGAAGGACGGAATCAGGGATCAGGTACAAATTGGATATTAGGCATAAAACGCCTGATTAAAAGTATAAAAACAAATACAAAAGTATAAGTAAAATATCTAACGTGTTTCGTCCACTAACAGTGGACTTCCTCAGAGATATATTAATAAATAAACCATGCAGAATCCCAACCCTCCCTCAGTCCCATTTAAAACAGCGTTCAGGACTCTTAACCCGGAAGCGGAAATGTCCCGTGGAACGAAAGCTGAATGAACTCGGTGAGGATGAGGGAAGTTTATGAGCAATTGAAAACATTTGAGAAGATAAGACATGAGGACCTATGAGGAAAGTTGGTCCCCTCATCAACTAATCAGATTGTCACAGAACCTTATCCACCTGGAAGGCCCTTTAATCAACATCACTGGACCAGTGTATTTAAATGGGACTGAGGGAGGGTTGGGATTCTGCATCTTTTATTTATTAATATGTCTCTGAGGAAGTTCACTGTTAATGGACGACACACGTTAGATATTTTACTTATACTTTTGTATTTGTTTTTGTTATATACTTTTAATCAGCTGTTTTATGCCTAATAAATATCCAATTTGTACCTTGTAGCGGAGCAGCAATATTAAATCCCACGATCTCCACTGGTATAGAAGGTAATCCACAGTCAAGCGCTGAAAAGTAAGGCAATATCCCAAATCCCCCAGTAACCGGACGAAACACAGTTCTGGGAGTCAACTGAGGTCTTTATTCACAGCTCCAGTATTTATGCAAGTCCCCATGCAAGGGGTTTCCCTACTGACATAGCAGGGGTAACACAGTAGGGGACTACATGGGGGACTTAACATTCTGGGCATTTCTCCCATCAGGCACTGCTGGACGAGAGGGATACTCCCACTGGAATACACCGTTAAGTGGATTATCCCTCCGTGCAGCAGAACCGGCATTTCACATTTAAATACATCACTTTTACACTATTCCGTTTATTTACACGAATTGACGTTCGGTAGATAGCTGGGGTCTGAGCACACATTTCGTGGGAATACCGCTCAGATCCCAGCTAAAACAACCGAACACCGCACGAAATACACTTTGCCATCGAGTTCACCTAAACGTACCGAACATCGATGGGGAACCACAATAAAGAAAGACCGGAGCTCCCGAAAGGCCTGGAAGTCCAGAGGTGTTTTCGCGCAGTCGAGTAGCCATTTTCAGTTCCACGCGCTCGACGACCAAACATCGCTGGTGAGACAAAGGATCCAAGATGCCGACCGCCGCGTGGTCGGTAGCCGAACGACGGCCACCTAGGAAAGTCTCTAATTACCGATTGCAACATTGTTGCAATCGGTTAATGAGCGCCACACGTCCCTCTATGTGTGGGCTATTAGGGGGTAGCTCATTCGGTTCACGAACAGCCAGTAAAGTCGCTGTTCGTGAAACGAAACACATGAATGCTAGCGGCTTTCGGCTGCTAGCATATGAATTCCATACACATAACATTATCACACAAGGTTATACATATAGTACAGCGGTTATTACAGACAACCTTTTCATATATATAGTCCAGCATGCTACAAGTGGCGAAGTTTGCCACATACCTGATCCCTGATTCTGTCCATTGAAGTTCCTGTTCCTGCCGATTATCCATTACTGCGTAAGGTGGAGAGCGGACCATTGTAGCCCTGTTCTGGGCTTTGAGGCGCTTCTTGAATTTCCTTCTTGTGAGTGCAATCTATCACTGCCGTGTGTCACAGTTAATACTATACATCACTATGTATTGTTTTATAATCTAGCTGTATCCCAATCTTTGTATTATTTAACTGACATAACAGAGGCGTTAGTGGGGAAGGCCTCTTGGGAAGCTGTTTTTATCGTATTAAGCGAAGTACATTTATCCTACCCATCATTTGTTTTGTTGGCGGGTAGAGCACTTGTTTGTATCACATCGGTCTAAACTGATTGGGATTCCTAAATCTCTCCAGGAATTGGGAGAAAATGTGTCCATACGCTTTCACGCTTATTTACTAAACGAGAATTTCAAATTTAAGTCCAGAGTTGCCGAATTGAAAGCATCGCTGATTTTTCCAGATATTTTTATTTAGTGAATACTCTGAAAGTGAAATCTCAAACGTTAAACTAAAAGAGCTGACCTAGAAACATAGCTGCCGTTTCCTGGCAAGTGTTACTTTAGTAAAAAGCCATTTATATTGTAAGTTATTGCACATTCAGAGAGCATTACCAATACATTGTGTGCATTTCCGTATTATTACTATTTGTGAATGTCTGCATTATGATGATAAATTCGCATTGTTTTCGGCTATTTTAGTAGTTGGTATTGGAGATGGCACCAAACTGCTCAACTCAATGCTGTCTGGCTCCAAGGTAAGATAATTAGATTGTGCCCATCCTTTAGTGATTGGGACTGCCCCACTTTTAGAACAATTTAAATCATTTAGTTTAAACTGTATTTTTTTAAATGTTTTCTTCAAGTTGAAATAATATATTTTGTGTTGTATTTCCTGTCTCCGATCTGCTCTGAACGGTTCACTCATAGAAAGCCATGGCAGTACTTTGATTTGCTGGGAGCTGTCTGCCACTTCCTGGTTTAGGCAATTCCTACAGATCCTGGAACGTTGATTAGTATTTAGAAATGGGAGGTTAGTCCCAGCCTGATCTCCCTCTAGCAGATGGACCCAGATGTTTCTCTGGGGGTCTATTCAATAAACCCTGGATTGAAATGGCATAATGTTTCGATAACGCTGAATTCCAGTTCTGCAGTTTGTTTCCTAATCTTTTAGTTGGTTCAAGGCGGAGAAACCTCATCCCACCAGCTACTCCCATTACTTAGTCATTCAGAGCAGCTGAGAGTAATGGGATTTTCAGTTCAGCTGCCAATAGATACTGGCATTTTTCTAGCCCGGCCACAGGTAGCTCTGTCTGTTGTGTGAATCCGGCTTCTCTTCCTGTTACAGAAATACACAACCATTGGCGAGATGGGGAAAGCCACAGATACCCTGGATGCGTCCGGTACGGTGACTGAAGAGAAGTCCTACGGTATGCACGGCTAGAGAGGTGTTAATAAGACAATGTTTTCTGTATCTATCCCGTTTATAATTTATTCTTACAAGTAATGATGTTAGACAGGAAGTATAACGGCCTGTAGCTGCTCACGGAGATTAAAAATGGGGATTGCATTGTCTGTAAATGTAGTTATTGACTCAACTGATATAACTGACAGAGAGAGAGAAAATATAGGCTGGATAAGTCCTTTAATTAACTGAATTGGGTGGACCTTGAGGATGGGGGTCATCTCGACCCCCTTGGGGTTTAGACCTTCAAAAATAGTTTGACCCCTTCGGGTAACACTGCACACAGGACCCCCATGTACCATAACAATGTCATTGAGCTGTATACATTATCTTCACAATACATTGGAATGGGAGTGTACCTCATCCAGTCTGCAGTTTTCCTTTAAGTTTTCTAAACAAGATACTCTTAGATTGTAAGCTCATCTGAGCAGGTCCTGATTCATCTCTTGTCTCTGCTGTATTCTGTATGTCAGTTGCTAGTTGTCCAATATGCCTGTCTGTTATTGGAAAGCACTGCGGAATAAGTTGGTGCTACATAAATGATAATCATAATGAAGTTGTTATGGTGCCTGGAGTGTTCTTTTTACATGTAACAGTTATTGGATTACCATAGTTTTTCGAATCCATTGAAAAACATGTTCGTTAAGGGTTGGTTATGCGTGGTAAAATAAGATACGGCTTTAAGGTTTAATTGTGCGTGAGTTTGCAGAGACTGTAAAACTGGTTAATATGCTGCTCTGGAAGAACATGGTTCTCTAGTAATTTATTTTAAGGGATCAGAGAGAAGATAAGGAATTTGTTTTCTGTTAGTGACAGTGTTGTGGACTCTGAGTATGTCTGATATTCTGCCAGCAGGAGGTGCTGTTATTCCAATCCATTAAATCATACATTGTGTACAGTAACAATTGGTTCAAAGAACCTGGTTACCTTTTTAGACATGCACAGCTGTGAGCCGGTTTTGATGTAATTCAGACAATATTTTTAATTCACATTTCCATTCAGTTGCCAAATCTTTCAGTGGTTTAGATGAGGAGATAAGTCCCTAATTTAGGCTTGCCATATTTAAGGATACCTAATTAGGCGGAATGTTTAGTAGATGGCTTTTTTGGTATCCTTAACCCTAAATAATTTATGATAGAATAATGCCACTAAGACATTCTATCAGTACTCCCAAGAAAAATGCTCAAAGAGCATTTTTAAAATAACGTTTGATTACCTTACTCAGGAGCTTCCCCGAGTGCTTCTGACGTCAAGGGAGCTGCGCTGAGATCCAATTAAAGGAGCACTATAGTGCCAGGAAAATAAACTAGTTTTCCTGACATTATAGGGTCGTTAGGTCCCCCCTCCCTCTGGGCTGAAGAGGTTAAAACCCCTTCAGCCATTTACTTTTCTCCAGCGCCGGGCTCCCTCTGTGCTGGGAACTCTCCACCCCTGCTGACTTCAGCTCCAAATGCGCATGCACGGCAAGAGCCGTGCGCGCATTCAAACAGCCCGTATGAAAGCACTACTCAATGCTTTCCTATGGACGTCCAGCGTCTTCTCACTGTGATTTTCATAGTGAGAATCGCGGAAGCGCCTCTAGCGGCTGTCAGTGAGACAGCCATTATTATTATTATTATGATGATGATGATATTTATGTAGCGCCATCAAATTCCGCAGCACTTTACAATGGGTGGACGAACAGACGTAGTTGTTACCAGACAAGTTGGACACACAGGAACAGAGGGGTTGAGGGGGGGGCCCTGCTCAGTGAGTTTACATGTTAGAGGGAGTGGGGTATAGTGACACAGTAAGAGAGGGATTGAGGGCCCTGCTCAGTGAGTTTACATGCTAGAGCGAGTGGGGTATAGTGACACAGTAACAGAGAGATTGAGTGCCCTGCTCAGTGAGTTTACATGTTAGAGGGAGTGGCGTATAGTGACACAGTAACAGAGGGATTGAGGGCCTGCTCAGTGAGTTTACATGTTAGAGGGAGTGGGGTATAGTGACACAGTAACAGAGGGACTGAGGCCCTGCTCAGCGAGTTTACAGGTTAGAGGGAGTGGGGTTGATCTGGATGCCTATAGTGGTCCTTTAAAGGTTTCTCTTTGAACCATTTTACAGCCTCAGGGCGCATGTACACCCTCTGAGTCAGGGAAGGATGGAGGGCATGGATTAAACAATATTGTGGATCGTATTGGGAGGAGGGAGGGCCTCCTTCATTGTGGGAGGGAAGACGAACTTCTCCCTTGTAGTGCGCGCTGATGGCAGACCTTTCATGGACAGAATTTACATTACAGTCCGGAACAGAGTTCTGGTTCTTGTGCTGCACGTGTCAAATATCTCTGGATGTGCACATATCCAGACTCCTACCACCATGACTACTTCAAAAAGCTGAAGTGGCTGGATTAACCCTTTAAATATGGCAATCCAACGTAAAGATACCAGATTGGGGAGCTGTCTACTAAACAGCTGAATGTTTTAAATTAACAAACACTTTTCTTCATTTTCATCGTTCATCTGTTTAGTAACTGGCTCCCTAACCCTTGTGCGCGATGGCCATATTGAAGGACAAGACACAACAGCTTCTTAATTTATTACCCTTAAATATGGAATGAACTAATGAACAAATCGCACATGGAATCTCGTGGAGTAGTTCATTGGTCTATTTTTTTCGATGTGCCTTTTGAAAATTTGGACGAATGGCTGAATGAGCTGATTTTTCTTCGAATTGTAAATTATAATTTTTTTTTTTGGGACTTGGCTACAAATAGTCATAGCTGCATGCGCGCTGATATAAATGGCACCCAGAACCTCACTTTTCCCTCTTACTTCTAAAAACACCTTACTCCAAATGGTATGTCCTCTGTGAGAACTTGCTATTGAGTAACTTATAATCAGCAATGTAGATTCCTATTTCAGAGCAGAATGCTATTTCCAGTTGCTGTTTGTCCTGGCTGCGCAGTATTCATGGCGAATGAGAAGTGTGTGTGTGTGTGACGTGCGTACTGGACATTACAGGAGACTGTGGAAAGTAGATCTTTTCAGATGACCTCCTCGATGAACAGCTGAGACTTAAGGGAAATAGATTCTGGTTTTGATATAAAGAACCTTTCTCAAAAAAAGTTCTAAAAATGGAGCAGTAACCATGGAAACTGATGGAATGTTTCCACTGATTGCTCTGTTAGAACTTTGTCCCAGAATTGCCGGCACACATAGGCACCGTTGTTACATAACTTGGCATTCCTGCCGGCTGCTGAACTCTTCTCTAAGCTGCTCTTCCTGCAGCCAGATAGTTTGGTTTTTTTTGTTGTTTTTTTTTTATATCATTAGGTTTTGGCAATGGGAGATATCCCTGAGATGTTTATCTGATTGTTGAATTTTTTTTTTTTTTTCAAAATTTCATTTTTTATTATAATTTTGAAGATTAAACAAGTATTAAACAGTAATAGTTGTTTCATCACAAGATAAACAACAAAATATGAATATTACATTACAGTGAATACAAATCTACATAAAAAGACATACAATGTAAATAAGATATCAGGTCAGCCATCGGGATCTGGGAGTTGGACGGAGTCAGTGTCACTTCTGGAATAAAAGGGAATCATGACATGTCACACATGTCATGTGTCGTTAAGGTGTTAAAGTAATCATTTAGAGCTAGAGCCACTTTCGGAAGATTATTATCCGTGTTTTATCTTACAAATGCATCTATGCCAGGGTTATTAATTTAAATGAGGTATAGATAGTTTATTCTTTGTAGTAATCAAACCATTTCCCCCAAATCTTATTGTAGGAATTGATATTATTATCCTTAAAATATACCGCCTTTTCCATTAAAAAGGCAGGAGATATATAGAGGGAGATATATTCTGTTTCCATTTTCTAGCAATGCACAGTTTGACAGCCATCAAGACATGTATAGTCAAATATTTGGAGAATTAATCCATTTTTGGGAAGTCTAAATGGAATAAGAATCTTTCTGGAGATAGCGTAATATTTCATTTTAAATCAATAAAAAGTTTAGATAATTCCAATTTAAGAATATCTAATCCTGTACAGTCCCACCACATTCACTATTACAACACCAACAGATATTTGCGGAGTTAGCTTGGAATTTACATATTTTCATAGGGACCAAATTCCATCTATGGATAAGTTTAAGGTTTGTTTCCTGTATGTTTATACAATGGACTGTTTTCCTTAAAACTTCAAATACTTTTGACCAATCCTGACATGAAAAAGATTTATTTAATTTGGTTTCCCATCTAGAGATCGTATTGTATTTTACTTCTTGGTGTAATACCTCCAAAGATCTTCTAACTGCAGAAGGTTTATTTTTAACCTCTCCAAAAAGGATCTTGTCAAAAGGCCAGTCTTTAATTATACTTACCTTATAAAGAAAGTTTTTTTATTCTTAAGTGAAATGTTCTTTATTTACAAGTCCAGTTTTTTCTTTAATACTTGGAAAGCCGCTAATACCAGAGGTATCGTATAGGGCCTGAATTTTTATCCCATCTCTAACTAACCAACCAGATACATTTAGATCTTTAATGAAGAATTTTTAAATTTTCAAAGGGGCATTTGAGGAAATTTGATTTTGAGCAAAGAATTATTTCTTTATTGGTATTATAGATTGAAAAGTATGGGATAATTAAATTATCAATAGGTAGGTTTTTAAAGAGTTTTTATCTATCCAGAAAGGATCGAAAGGGTCAAAGTTATTACATAAACTCTTTTCATATAAATACCAAGCTTTCAGCTTTGAAATGTTAATAAATAGTGTGAAAACATTACTGTGTCGTGGATATAGAATATATTCGGAAAGGATAGACCTCCTTCTGCTAATCTATCTGACTTAACTTTAAGAGCAATCCTGGGTTTTTGTTTCCCTAAACATAAGATACAAACAGACCATGAAACAATTGAAGTATTTTCTTTGGGACTCTAAGTGGGATAGTACGAAGCAGATATTCTAATTTTGGAAGTAGATATGCTCTAATGATGTTTATTCTTCCAAGCCAAGATATTTGTAATTTAGACCATTTTAAAATTGTATTTTTAAATTCTCTAAAGATTATGGTATAATTATCAGTGGTCCATTCTTCAATATTAAATTTATATTTATCCCCAAATAATATAAAGAATTGGACCATTTAAATTCACAGTTATTATTCAGGTTTCTTATTAATGAGCTTGGTAGATTATCATGCAGAGCTTGTGTTTTTTACATATTGATCTTATAGTTCGAAAATCTACTATATATCTGATTGTTTATTGATAACGCTGTGACTGCTGGGTTCACCTGTTGGTAACATTTTGTTAATTGTCTTGTTGTGCAGATCATGTTAGTAAGGACGACTTGGAGAAAGTGCTTCAGTCTTTTACCGGGGAAATCATGCAAGTCCCCCCTCTGTAAGTAACGTACATCCTTTATGGGCTTGTGGGTTTGCTATAAAAATAAATATTCTTTTAAATAGTCTAGTTAATCAGTAGAACAAACTTGTGCATTAGTGTTTTTGTTTTGTCTTTTTAAGGGGAACTAAAATAATGTCTGCACAGAACAAGTAACTGTACCCTGCAGGGTTCAGTGTTCAGTCTATGGAAAGCTGCAGGGTTCAGTATTTAGTCTTTGAGGAGCTGCAGGGTTCAGTCTATGGAGAGCTGCAGGGTTCAGTCTATGGAGAGCTGCAGGGTTCAGTCTATGGAGATCTGCAGGGTTCAGTCTATGGAGAGCTGCAGGGTTCAGACTATGGTCAGCTGCAGTGTTCAGTCTATGGAGAGCTGCAGGGTTCAGTATTCAGTCTTTGAGGAGCTTCAGGGTTCAGTCTATGGAGATCTACAGGGTTCAGTCTATGGAGAGCTGCAGGGTTCAGACTATGGTGAGCTGCAGGGTTCAGTCTATGGAGAGCTGCAGGGTTCATTGTTCAGTGTATGGAGAGCTGCAGGGTGCAGTGTTCAGTATATGGAGAGCTGCAGTGTTCAGTATATGGAGAGCTGCAGGGTTCAGTCTATGGAGAGCTGCAGGGTTCAGTCTATGGAGAGCTGCAGGGTCCAGTGTTCAGTCTATGGAGAGCTGCATGGTTCAGTCAATGGAGAGCTGCATGGTTCAGTCAGTGGAGAGCTGCATGGTTCAGTCAATGGAGAGCTGCAGGGTTCAGTCTGTGGAGAGCTGCAGGGTTCAGTCTGTGGAGAGCTGCAGGGTTCAGTCTGTGGAGAGCTGCAGGGTTCAGTCTGTGGAGAGCTGCAGGGTTTAGTCTATAGAGAGCTGCAGGGTTCAGTCTATGGAGAGCTGCAGGTCTCAATAGCCTGAACAACAAACCCTGCAGCTCTCCATAGACTGAACCCTGCAGCTATGGTGAGCTGCAGTGTTCAGTCTATGAAAAGCTGCAGGGTTCAGTGCAGGGTGCAGCTCTCCATAGTCTATTATTGAGGGTTCAACCTATTGAGAGCTGCAGGGTTCGTTGTTCAGGCTATGGAGAGCTGCAGGGTTCGTTGTTCAGGCTATGGAGAGCTGCAGGGTTCAGTATTCAACCTATTGAGAGCCGCAGGGTTCAGTATTCAACCTATGGAAAGCCGCAGGGTTCAGTATTCAACCTATGGAGAGCCGCAGGGTTCAGTGTTCAACCTATGGAGAGCAGCAGGGTTCAGTGTTCAGTCTATGAGGAGCTGCAGGGTTCAGTGTTCAGTCTATGGAGAGCTGCAGGGTTCAGTCTATGGAGAGCTGCAGGGTCCAGTGTTCAGTCTATGGAGAGCTGCAGGGTTCAGTTTATGGAGAGCTGCAGGGTTCAAAATTCAACCTATTTAGAGCTGCAGGATTCAGTATTCAACATATTGAGAGCTGCAGGGTTCAGTGTTCAGTCTATGGAGAGCTGCAGGGTTCAGTTTTCAGTTTATGGAGAGCTGCAGGGTTCAGTGTTCAGTCTATGGAGAGCTGCAGGGTTCAGTGTTCAGTCTATGGAGAGCTGCAGGGTTCAGTCTATGGAGAGCTGCATGGTTCAGTCTATGGAGAGCTGCAGGGTTCAGTCTATGGAGAGCTGCACGGTTCAGTCTATGGAGAGCTGCAGTGTTCAGTCTATGAGGAGCTGCAGGGTTCAATCTATGCAGTATCGTATCTTCCTATTCCCGTGTCACATTTGAGCACTTTCTCTTCCAGTTTCTCTGCCCTGAAAAGAGATGGGAAAAGACTGTCCTGTCTCCTGCGAGAGGGCGTGGAGGTCGAAGCCAAGCCTGCTCGGCCAGTGATGGTGTACAACATTTCTGTGACCGATTTTCAGCCGCCTCTTTTTACGCTCGGTAAGGCTTTCCAGGACATCCTGCAGGGGAAGCCACTCATCGTCTGAGTCCAGATCATCCACCATCGCAGAACCTGCAGAATGATGCGTCCCGAGTATTACCACTGAATTCCTGGATATTTGGAATTATTCATACTACGTGATGCCATTTGTAATATGACTTCAACAAGTCACCACAAATATACTGTCACAACATTCCTCCTGGATGTCTCACCTTAAAGGATCACTATAGTGTCAGGAAAACAAAGCGGTTTTCCTGACACTATAGTGCCCTGAGGGTGCCCCCACCCTCTGGGTCCCCCTCCCGTGGCGCTGAAGGGGTTACTTACCTTAGCCACTTACCTTAATCCAGCGCCGGGCTCCCTCGGCACTGGTGACCTCTCCTCCCCGTCCAACGTCACTGGAGCCTTGGACGCCTGGCTCCCTCGGCACTGGTGACCTCTCCTCCCCGTCCAATGTCACTGGAGCCTTGAATGCTTTCCTATGGGCGCTCTGCACGATGGAGGCGAAATTCGCCTCCAGCGTCACAGGTGCGCCTGTAGTGGCTGTCCGGGAGACAGCCACTAGAGGCTGGATAACCCCAAATGTAAACATGTGTTAGCATCTGAAGGGTTAAAACCTGAGGGACCTGGCACCCAGACCACTTCATCGAGCTGAAGTAGTCTGGGTGACTATAGTGTCCCTTTAATAGACACAGTCCTTCTCTGTGTTTCTAACGCTTCTAATTCACTCATACCAGTATTCCTGGGTTCCATAAAAAGAAAAATACAAAAAAAAAAGTCAAAAATATCTGAAATCTGCCCCCCAGGGGTGAATTGTTTGCCCCCCAGGGGTGGTTTGTTTAACAAATAATTACCATATGATAATGAAATCCCGAATCCCTAAATAGCTGATTGTATTGAGAACCTTCTACCAGTAGACTGGCTTAATATCTCACACGCTGAGACACACCTTTTACATCTGTTTTGGGGTACATGTGAGATTTCCTGGTTTTCTTTGTTATGTCTGTTTTAAGAGTGTTAATAAAAGGAACACTATAGTCATCAGAACTACAGCTTAATGTACAGTATACAGCTTAATGTACGGTATACAGCTTAATGTACGGTATACAGCTTATTGTACGGTATACAGCTTATTGTACAGCAGACAGCTTATTGAATTTGTTCTGGTGAGTAGAATCATTCCCTTCAGGCTTTTTGCTGTAAACACTGTTTTGTTTCAGAGGAAATGCAGTGTTTACATTACAGCCTAGTGATAACTTCACTAATCACTCCTCAGATGGCTGAGAGAGGTGCTTCCTGGGCCAGTGCTGCACAGTGTGACTGACATCCAGTGTCTCCACCCTCTCAATGCAGACACTGAACTTTCCTCATAGAGATGCATTGATTTAATGCATCTCTATGAGGAGATGCTGATTGGCCAGGGAGGCGTTTGGCTCTGCCCCCGGTCCGCATCCTTGGCTGAGATCAGAATTGAAAATCTCAGCCAATCCAATGCTTTGTGGCTGGCTGAGATCATCACTTCTGATGTCAGCCAAGCAGGCAGATCAGGGGTAAGGGGGTGGGAGCCAGGGGGCTAGATGGTATTTTTAACATTATATGGTCAGGAATACATGTTAATAGTGTTCCTCTAAATTCATTCATCCGTGTTTTATTGTATACTTACATAGGATACCATGATAATCCGTGTTTTATTGTGTTATTACATAGGATACCATGATAATCCGTGTTTTATTGTGTTATTACATAGGATACCATGATAATCTGTGTTTTATTGTGTTATTACATAGGATACCACGATAATCTGTGTTTTATTGTGTTATTACATAGGATACCATGATAATCCGTGTTTTATTGTGTTATTACATAGGATACCATGATAATCCGTGTTTTATTGTGTTATTACATAGGATACCACGATAATCTGTGTTTTATTGTGTTATTACATAGGATACCATGATAATCCATGTTTTATTGTGTTATTACATAGGATACCATGATAATCCATGTTTTATTGTGTTATTACATAGGATACCATGATAATCTGTGTTTTATTGTGTTATTACATAGGATACCATGATAATCCGTGTTTTATTGTGTTATTACATAGGATACCATGATAATCTGTGTTTTATTGTGTTACTACATAGGATACCATGATAATCTGTGTTTTATTGTGTTATTACATAGGATACCATGATAATCCGTGTTTTATTGTGTTATTACATAGGATACCATGATAATCTGTGTTTTATTGTGTTATTACATAGGATACCATGATAATCCATGTTTTATTGTGTTATTACATAGGATACCATGATAATCTGTGTTTTATTGTGTTATTACATAGGATACCATGATAATCCATGTTTTATTGTGTTATTACATAGGATACCATGATAATCTGTGTTTTATTGTGTTATTACATAGGATACCATGATAATCCGTGTTTTATTGTGTTATTACATAGGATACCATGATAATCCGTGTTTTATTGTGTTATTACATAGGATACCATGATAATCTGTGTTTTATTGTGTTATTACATAGGATACCATGATAATCCGTGTTTTATTGTGTTATTACATAGGATACCACGATAATCTGTGTTTTATTGTGTTATTACATAGGATACCATGATAATCTGTGTTTTATTGTGTTACTACATAGGATACCATGATAATCTGTGTTTTATTGTGTTATTACATAGGATACCATGATAATCGTTTTATTGTGTTATTACATAGGATACCATGATAATCTGTGTTTTATTGTGTTATTACATAGGATACCATGATAATCCGTGTTTTATTGTGTTATTACATAGGATACCATGATAATCTGTGTTTTATTGTGTTATTACATAGGATACCATGATAATCCATGTTTTATTGTGTTATTACATAGGATACCATGATAATCTGTGTTTTATTGTGTTATTACATAGGATACCATGATAATCCATGTTTTATTGTGTTATTACATAGGATACCATGATAATCTGTGTTTTATTGTGTTATTACATAGGATACCATGATAATCCATGTTTTATTGTGTTATTACATAGGATACCACGATAATCTGTGTTTTATTGTGTTATTACATAGGATAACACGATAATCCATGTTTTATTGTATTATTACATAGGATACCATGATAATCCATGTTTTATTGTATTATTACATAGGATACCATGATAATCCATGTTTTATTGTATTATTACATAGGATACCATGATAATCTGTGTTTTATTGTGTTATTACATAGGATACCATGATAATCCGTGTTTTATTGTGTTATTACATAGGATACCATGATAATCCATGTTTTATTGTGTTATTACATAGGATACCATGATAATCTGTGTTTTATTGTGTTATTACATAGGATAACACGATAATCCATGTTTTATTGTATTATTACATAGGATACCATGATAATCCATGTTTTATTGTATTATTACATAGGATACCATGATAATCCATGTTTTATTGTGTTATTACATAGGATATCATGATAATCCATGTTTTATTGTGTTATTACATAGGATACCATGATAATCCATGTTTTATTGTATTATTACAGAGGATACCACGATAATCTGTGTTTTATTGTGTTATTACATAGGATAACACGATAATCCATGTTTTATTGTATTATTACATAGGATACCATGATAATCCATGTTTTATTGTATTATTACATAGGATACCATGATAATCCATGTTTTATTGTGTTATTACATAGGATACCACGATAATCTGTGTTTTATTGTGTTATTACATAGGATACCATGATAATCCATGTTTTATTGTGTTATTACATAGGATACCATGATAATCTGTGTTTTATTGTGTTATTACATAGGATAGCATGATAATCTGTGTTTTATTGTGTTATTACATAGGATACCATGATAATCTGTGTTTTATTGTGTTATTACAGAGGATACCACAATAATCTGTGTTTTATTGTGTTATTACATAGGATACCATGATAATCCATGTTTTATTGTATTATTACATAGGATACCATGATAATCCATGTTTTATTGTGTTATTACATAGGATACCACGATAATCTGTGTTTTATTGTGTTATTACATAGGATACCATGATAATCTGTGTTTTATTGTGGTATTACATAGGATACCATGATAATCTGTGTTTTATTGTGTTATTACATAGGATAGCATGATAATCTGTGTTTTATTGTGTTATTACATAGGATACCATGATAATCTGTGTTTTATTGTGTTATTACATAGGATACCATGATAATCTGTGTTTTATTGTGTTATTACATAGGATAACACGATAATCCATGTTTTATTGTATTATTACATAGGATACCATGATAATCCATGTTTTATTGTGTTATTACATAGGATATCATGATAATCTGTGTTTTATTGTGTTATTACAGAGGATACCATGATAATCTGTGTTTTATTGTGTTATTACATAGGATACCATGATAATCTGTGGTGTATTACTCATTACTGCTGTACATTGTTATCTTGAACTGTTACAGCAGTTAGGAAATGATTCAATATGAATTTAATATTTCATTCTGCCCTTTGCCCCTCCGAGCTCTTACACCCTTTCCTTCCTCAGTAACGTTCGTGTTTTTAGATGAAAGTAACTGTTTAATTGTCTCCAACAGATATCGAATGTGGAGGAGGCTTTTATGTCAGGAGCCTTGTCAGAGACATCGGGAAAGGTGAGTGAATGACCTTTAAAGGAATTTGGGGGGGAATTGTAATGGTTTCTGACCTTTGAATAAATTTGGGGGTGAATTTTAATGGTTTGTGAACTTTAATGAATTTGGGGATGAATTGTAATGGTTTATTGACCTTTGAATGAATTTTGGGGTGAATTGTAATGGTTCGTGACCTTTGAATGAATTTGGGGGTGAATTGTAATGGTTCGTGACCTTTGAATGAATTTGGGGGTGAATTGTAATGGTTCGTGACCTTTGAATGAATTTGGGGGTGAATTGTAATGGTTCGTGACCTTTGAAGGAATTCTGAGGTACTTTAAAGAAGATCAGTAACCAGAGAAGTCCTCTCAATTATGGAGCAAAGTGCAGGTGGTGGGGACTGTCTAGCGACCAAGACGGTCGCTTGGAACTGAAGCTTCTATGGGGAATTTACTTTATAGCCTCAACCTAGACTTTGTCGCTCTTTTTGTTGGCTAAATCTTGCTACTGTTCTGGAGAAACCACAAGTACACAAGAAATGGATTAGCGCTAATATCAGTGGATAGGCAGTAACCACAACAAAGGGGATCCCTCTCGCCCTTTGAAAAAAAACTGAGATGTACAAAGATAGATAGGGGCTGCGCCACAGGGATAAACAGAATATAGTCAATAACAGAAAATCCAGTGGTATAAAAGAAAACCTTTAGGTTCACACCAGATGGTGTCTTTATGGTATATTCAATGGGTTCAAAGCTTCGGAAGAATGTCCGTAATCTGTCTCCGATATTCAGTCATATGAAATGGAGAGAGGAAGAAACAAAAGGTTATATGGATCATGTAAAGTGGTTATTGTGAGGTAATAATAATGCACTTACATTTGGCAGAGCTTATAGTCCTCTCTAGCGTCTAGCGCTTGTAGTGGTACAATCCCCACTTCGGGATATATTGTAGGTAACCTCAGTCTTTTGGATTAACTGGAGCTCAAACGACAACAAAAGTAGGGGGCCAATAATAGTGCTCTCAATAAGGTAAAAACCAAGTGTAAAAAGATATATATGAAATATACTCACACAACATAGAGCAGGCTGACTGCTCAATGGTATCGGTTCTGGTGGTATGATCCACACCTCAGATTTCTTTAGAGTGGTGATAAAAACGGGCAGGTACCATAAAAAAAAGAAAAATAACATTAAAGGAAATTGGTACAAACCTAGATATATTTATCCAAAAGAATAGTACAAAATAAAACATCCAATGACATGTTTCGCCGTTGTGGCTTTTTCAAATGGGGTGGCTACATGAGATTTAAATAGGGTTATGATAATTTAAAATTGGCGCCAAAAATCAGTCATGGGCTGTTCTCCAATAAAATACAATCACTCTTTATAAGGTGCAAATCTGAAGATCATACATATCATATGATAGATAATTTGGTGGGGAGTGGAGGTATATAATTATATTGTATAAAGTATAGTAGTGGCTTCTAAAGCCAGAACATGTGACCCACGTCAAATGCGCGTCACAGTATCGGCCGTTAAGCCTTCTGGGAGCTGTAGTTCTCAATATGATGCATGTGATGTCGGCAGAATACACTAGTTTCCCGACATCACAATAAGGCTGCCAGCACTTAATTAGTGTACACTTTAGGTGGGAGATGATAGGATGAGGTGTAGGATTAGTACTCGGATTGGCTCAATAATTGAAAATGATAAAAAAAAAAATAACAAATAGCCACGGCAGCCATCTTGGTGGAGGAAAATATTGGGAGATGGAAAAAATGGTGGCGGCCATATTTCCAGAAAGAGATAAGGTGGCCATATTGAAGGGGGCATACCTAAACAAGTAGAAAGGAATTCAACAATGCACATAATATAATCGAATTACAAATCTACATAACAATAAGAAACAGGATTATACACATAAATGCATAAATAAATAGAGCCCTTAAGGCAGGTAGAATGAGAAGTGGCTGGGATAATGCATCAGACAAAAGAAACAAAACCGCCTAAAATACCTGAGAGAAAGTTGTTATGGTAGGGAAGCTCTAAATCACAATGCCGTAGGAAATACAACTGCGATTGGAGTATCCCTAGGATAACATAAAAAATTCCAGGGAGGTGCTTTTATTTTTGACTGACTGTGCACATGGTCCTATGCCCAAAACAGTTCCAGGGAATCAGGACTAACGGTCGGTCTCTCTGTCTGGAGTACAAAAGTACATTACTCAGATGAACAGAGCCTTTTTAAGTGCATTGGGCAAGGTATATTGCCGGGCCCATAGTCCTGAGGCAAGCGGCTGGCCAGCAGGCCCCTCCATGAACCCGTGATGAGGTTTGGTTCATCACATTGCAGATCCTGAAAAGCTTTGTAGATATGCTTTCCAATGAGGAGGGCCTAATGTGCTTGCAGCGTTCACCACAAACAACTTTGTATTCCTAGAGCTATAGTATCTCTAATTATTATTTATATAGCACCAGCAAATTCTGTAGCGCTGTACAATGGGTGGACTAACAAACACGTAACCAGACAAGTGGACGCACAGGAACAGAGGTTGAGGTCCCTGCTTAATGAGCTTACATGCTAGAAGGAGTGGTTCCCAACCCAGTCCTCAAGTATCCCCTAATAGTTCAACATTTAAGGATTACCCAGTTGTGTCTAAGGTGTTTTTAGGGAAAGAAAAAAAAAAAACACTTTCTATACAACAGGGTAATCCCTAAATTCTGGACTGGTAGGGGATACTTGAGGACTGGGTTGGGAACCGCTGTGCTAGAGGGATGTCCACAATCAACAATTTTAAAGGGACACTATAGTCACCAGAACAACTACAGCTTAATGAATTGTATACAGCTTAATGTGTTTGTATACAGCTTAATGTGTTTGTTCTGGTGAGTCCCTGCAGGCTTTTTGCATGCTTAGGGACACTTCTATTGACCACACCACAGACTGCCACTAAAGGCGCATCCTGGGGACTGACGTTTAGCGGCACTGAACTTTCCTCAGAGATGCACTGATTCCCTGTTTGGCCCCACCTCCTTGATGATCCCAGCCAATCCAATGTGGGAAAGCATTGGATTGGCTGAAATCATCAATTCTGTTGTAAGCCAAAGAGGAGGATCGGGGGTGGGCAGGCACCTGCAGACCCATGAAGAGCTTGAAATAAGGTAAGTTTTAACCCTTTCTAAGGAGGCATTGATGGGACTATAGGATCAGGAATACATGTTTATGTTCCTGACCCTATAGTGTTCCTTTAAATATTTGGTGTCGTGATGCAATTTAAAGATATGCAACTAACTCCCTCTCCATGGAGTTTTGCAAGGCTTTAAATACTGGGTGAATCTGGGAAGTCAAGTCTTGATGTTGATACATCATTTATATAAGCAATATGTCCACCCACATGTCATCTTCACTAGAATCCTGGTGACACTGACAGGGGATCCGACGACCCCCAAATGCAGTAATCCAGCCTGTTTATATAAATATTTCTATTCATGGAATGGATACAATGTTATCATATTACTCTCTGATTATAATAACCAGATGAATCCGCTGATTTGAAAATGTTAGTAATCGCTAAATCCCTTTTCAGAGCTGCATTAAATATGATGTATACGTGCTGTTAATCAGAGCCTTTTCAAAGAATGTCCTGTCTCACCAACAGGTGCACAAGTAAAATCTCTATAATCTTAAGGCATTTAAGTATTTTCATTTGCGTTAAATTGACTCAGCCACAAACATATTTACATGATAATTACACGTTTTGAAGCCTGTCTCCAATTTCCCTCATTCATGTGCTAATTCCGATTTTCTGCTTCTGTCTCCGTAGCTTTGTCCAGCTGCGCTAGTGTGAAGGAGCTGACTCGCACCAAGCAGGGGCCTTTCACATTGGAGGAACACACTCTGCGAGAGGAGAGCTGGGACATCGCCACCATCTCCAAAGCCCTGCAGGACTGGGCTCACCTGCTCCCAGCTCAGCCCGGAAACAAACGGCTCAAATCAGAGTGAGGAACTTTGTCCCGTCTACTTAACAGCGACTTCAGGAAAGCAGACTGAACGATGTGCTCTCACATGTGGACGTTGGGTGCAGTGTGAGCCCCACAGAGACATGCTTCAATTACCTCTTACACCTCACTTAACTATGAATTGGAAGGGAACAGCTAGAAAGGAGTCATCTAGTTGAACTGTTTTATTTTTTTTGGGGGGTGGGGGGCTTACACAGTAAATTTGTCATTTTCTAGAAGGTAAAAGAACCATTTAGAAACAGTTTTCAGTAATATTCTTTTGTCTACGACACCTTAGCAGCGGCACGCACCTTACTGCTCCTGTGGCCGCCGTCACTGAAATCAGTCATTGAGAGCAGATTGAAACCCTGTTCTTTCCATACACTGTTTGATTAAAGTGTGAAAAGGAATTTATTACCTCTTAATAAAACCTGTTTTATTTATGTCTGGACCCACGGAGGGTATTATTGTCTTATTATGATTAGAGTTTATTAAGCTACAATGCAATGTAACATGTCTGATCAGGTTCTGTAAAGGCAGAGGAGAGCCCGGTCCACACATGGTTCTCAGCCTTTGCTGTACTGCCACGGGTGCTCTGAGAGGACAGAACGTGCCCTATGCTCATGGCTATTTTACATTTAACTCAAAGCTACTGGTTTAGAGTTGTTATAAAAGAAAGCTCACAGACTGTCTTGCAAGGCATCATGGGAGTTTAGTTTTTTTGGCCACCCAGGTGTAGTAATATAAATTACCCATAGGACTGTGAGGTGTGCCATTACATGTTCTCCCACAAGGCAGAGTGTGCTATTCAACAATAACCAATGAAATCTGAGATTTCAAATTTAGGCAAAAAAAATTATATTCTGAAAAATCTACAAAATGTGTCAAAGCTGCGAGCAGAACCAAGTTCTAGATATTCTAAATTATTAGGAACTATTGATTTGAGAATCTACCCCCGGGCAGGACCTTTCTAATCACCTTACTGGCTCCCCAATTCTGGGACATCAAATTCGGAATGTGGGCTCCTGCCCCCCCACAGGTATTTTACTGGATTTTCCCACATCGATGGGAAGTGTTTTACAGAGTGTATTTTGTTAATTATTGTTGGCATATTACATCACAGTTGCAGATCTCTATGTAGAATTGGTCACTACGCTAATGGTACCTGCAACATTTGGTCCCTGTCAAAAAAAATAAAATTGATAAACCCATAATCTAAACCAGCAAATTTAGGATTCATAACTCTCCAGGCATTGCATTGCCCGCCGGGTGAGGGCACAGATGGTATACAGGAGCTCAATGTTTGCACCCACAGCCTGGTCTACAAATCATAATGTGTAAGGCGTCTGGGGGCGGGGGGAGAGGAGAGAAGCGATCTGTGGTCACTTGGGTCAGTTAAGTTTCAGGTGCCACTATTGCGCTAAACACAACTCCAGATGATCAAGAAAAATTATATAATCTACTTAACATTAAATATTTTGCCCTAATTATACTATTGCTACCCAAACACACCACCAGAAAAAACAAAAATTACTAAATCTCGAAATGTTTTGAAACACTTATTTTGAAGTTTATGTAGGATTTAAGAAAAATGAGTGTCGCCAATCTTTTTATTAAGACCCGTGTGCTTCTTTTCCTAATACTGATAGCCTTGTAATGGTCACCTGACACCAATAATCAATATGGTTTTTATCACTTTGTTTTATTAAGGCATTTGATTAGGGTGGTACAGAATAAAGAGAGGGAGATGAACGAGTTTCATGCAAGATAGGGATATCACAATATGGTTTAATATCTCTTAAATATGACTGCCTCGTATTTTTAGTAATTTAGTAAGATATAAACATGCTAATTTCGCTGCGCTGAGAAATATACAATCTAGGGGATGTACCATGGTGAGGAAACACCACACATTTATATTAGATAGGGTATGGTAACTTGCTTGTAAGTACTACATATTATTATGTGAATCGGGTGAGAGTAGGCTGGTATTCCCTGTGAACCATCATTAAAAGGCACCTGAGCAAATGGGATGCTGAACTATGTGATATTGATGCTTGCTATTCACAGGGCTAGGAAACCAGAAACCGTGGCAGCGTAAGATAAATGCAAAGTTAAATACGCTAAGCTGTCTTATTGAACAAGCTGTGAACAACTGGGGCACAGAACGTGATCCATAGCTGCGTCAAACATGTGAGATAGCAGGTGACTATGGCTGCATAATCTTTTGTGTACTCTTTTCTTACAGAGTGTGCATTAATGGGCTGCGTATAAAACAAATGCAGAATCGGGTCTGTAAAATGTGTAGTTATCAGGCCACATGGCGTCTGTCCTGGATCCAGGTATGTATGCCCAGCCTACACCAATTTTTGGAAACGAGTGAGGGTAGACCTGAGATGACAAAGTAAGTGTAGTTTCATATTCAGCTTGTAGGTAGCATAACGGGAAAGAGTTACTCTGACAGTTCAGGTGTGGTCGCCTGGTAAGCTCTCATTTGGGAGCGTTAGCTAGTGTGATCTGCAGACCAGAGAGTCTACAGTCAACCAATACCCTTACTGGGTTGGGAGGCCCCTTGTGCTAGGGGTGTCCGCCAGGAGATGGGAAGGTGCATTCGTGGGGGGGGCGCCCTCCAACCCCAGACCTTGAGGAAGGCCTCTACCTTCTGTCCACATACTCGTTAACTTCGAAAGGCCGGGTCTTCCCTCTCTCGGGTGCCAGGGTAGGCCCAGGTGTTCTGCATCAGGCCTTGGAGGTGTCTTGGAGGTGGTCTCAGTTTGGCCTTTGGCCCAGGTCGGCATTTGTGATGATTAGTGGCAGCGGTTCTGTGTGGTTTGCCCATGGAAGGGCCTTTCCATCTCTGCTCCTCCATGCCTCTCACCTCCCACTCTGGGTTAGGTTGTTCCTGCTTGCTGAGGTGCTCCAGATTCTCCCAAATCTTTTAAAGATGTCCAGCTGCACAAGATAACATTCCGTTGGCTTTTGCCCCTGGCCACCAGGCTGTATTAGTATAGGCGAGGTTCGCTGGGGTGCGTCTGCCATGTTGTGAGGCTGGCTGTACCAAACGCTTAGGCTAGATAGTTGAGCCGGGGCCAGCGTTGCCGTGTGCTGCGGGTAGATGGGGACTGGGATGACTCCCACCGGTCCTTGAGGGGTGAGGACAGGAGCCCAGGCTAATGGTTGATGCGTGTTGTGGTCAAGGGAGAGTGGCTGTCTCTCCCGCGATAACCATGCATGTCTCACTTAAGGCTAGGCCGCACGGCTCCGTCAGGGCTAAGTTCAAGATTCGGGTACCGTTGTGTGCCCAGTCGGATGCAGGTCAGCCCTCCGGTCACAGAAAGTAGTTTCTGGCAGGGTAACTGTCAGTGAAGGCTAAGTTTATACCCATTAATGTTGGAGCTGCAAGCAAGTACGTCCGGCTATCAGGCCATGCCCCGCCCCCAAAATAAATAATAAATATGCTAAACATTGCTCTGTTCTGCCCCCTCCCATCCATTTCTGTTCCTTCCTGGTGAGTTTCCGTGGCCTAAAACCCATGTGTACGTCCAATCTACACGTTCAGCGTTATGCCATAAAGTGGAAAGTTCAACTATAGAATAGCCGAACTGAAAAAACGATTTAGTAGAATTTTTCTAATTTGCCTATTTTGGTCTAGATTTTAAAATTCACTTTGAATTCCCAGCAATTCTAATATCCCTTTAAATTGGCAATTTAACATTTAAGGCCAGTGTAGCCAACTTGGAAGCACAGCTGAATCTGTGCATTTTGCCAGTTGAAATTAACTTTGAATTCTTACTGAAGTAAAGACCCCCGTTGAAAGACGTGTTAAAGCCCGGAGCTGATGAAGAATTATTACGTTTGTGGTTTTCCCTCTTTGATGCTTCCTTCCTGTATTGCGAGGCAGAGCAGAGGGTCACACAGAACTAAATATTTATACAGATGTTTATTTTCCAATGTACCCATTAATTGTGCAGAACGGATAGCGCTTGGCACCTCTCCACCAGACCCAATTCATCATCTCAGGCATTCTGGGATATTGTGTTGTATATAACAATTCCTCTGGACACACAGGGAAATATACAGAACAAAAACAAATGGTATGTTTTCAGAGAGATGTAAAATAATAGGGCACTGTAGTATCATGTGCAAAAAACAAAACTGTATATGCTATACAGAAATAGGGCGCCACTTATCACCAAATGTAAATACTGGATATAGTTACCCTCCAGCGAGCAAATGAGGATATTCACATAAAAGATATAAAAAGAGAAAACATCATAGTGCAAACTTTTAATCCAAAGTGATAAAAAAACATATAAATAAAAACACTCACAAACAGTGTGGCACAATTGACAAAATCAATATGTGCTAAAGTGCTGATGCCTATAATAGGCTAAGTCTCCCGGTCTTAGCAGTCTGTGGACATCTGTATAGAAGCTGTAACAAGGACAGATAGAACAGTTCACCATCAGCTGATCCAATTCCCCGGGTTTGCTCAACGCGTTTCGTCTGTTCTTAATCAGACTTCCTCAGGAGCGATTCATAGTCTTCTCTAACCGGCATTTAAATATGCCGGGTGGCGTCCTTTCTGTGCAATTGCGCGGGCGCCGGCGTGATGACATACCATTCGCCGGCGTCCAACGCGCATGTGCGTTCCACCGTGGAACGCAGGCAAAAAACTTTATTGATCTAAGCAGCACTGACAACACTGGGACTTATAAAAAAACGAACAAAGCCAGTGTGTTCTGATGCTATTATATGTTAGATGCACATATAAGGGGGTTTGAAACATATAATGTGGATATATATAGAATAAAGATAAAATAAAATAAAATAAAAAGAAGAGAGAGATATATATATATATATGTGCTTATATGCATGTAGTGGTAATATATGAATCCAACATATTACATTAAATCAGGATCATTTCAATTCACATATATATAACAATAACAATAATGATATATAAATATTTTAAACTAACATAGTTTAGGCAAGACATTGTTTTAAACAGGGCATAATTTTAAGCAGGACATAGTTTTGAACAGGGCATGATTATAAAAATACATGATTATAAGAGCATTATAAAATTACATAGTTCTGAACAGTTCTAAATTAATATGACTTTCCAAAGCAACAAAATTCTGTTGAGAATATTAAAATTTGTAAAATTTTAAAAAGGCACTCAATTCAAAAGTACTAAAAAGTATTCAAATTAAAAAGTATTCGAATTAAAAATAACTCAATTAAGGACGGATATAAAATAAATAATAAAATATAAAAATATAAAAAGAAAGGAACAAGAAAGAGAGGAAACAAAGTTAATAATTCTTCAATCAATCATATAATCAATTATAAAATATAAAATATAAGATATAAAATATAGAGTATAAAATATAGATATATTTTATATCTTATATTTTATATTTTATAACTGATTATATGATTGATTGAAGAATTATTAACTGTTTCCTCTCTTTCTTGTTCCTTTCTTTTTATATTTTTATATTTTATTATTTATTTTTTATTTTATATCCGTCCTTAATTGAGTTATTTTTAATTCGAATACTTTTTAATTTGAATACTTTTTAGTACTTTTGAATTGAGTGCCTTTTTAAAATTTTACAAATTTTAATATTCTCAACAGAATTTTGTTGCTTTGGAAAGTCATATTAATTTAGAACTGTTCAGAACTATGTAATTTTATAATGCTCTTATAATCATGTATTTTTATAATCATGCCCTGTTCAAAACTATGTCCTGCTTAAAATTATGCCCTGTTTAAAACAATGTCTTTCCTAAACTATGTTAGTTTAAAATATTTATATATCATTATTGTTATTGTTATATATATGTGAATTGAAATGATCCTGATTTAATGTAATATGTTGGATTCATATATTACCACTACATGCATATAAGCACATATATATATATATATATATATATATATATATATCTTCTTTTTATTTTATTTTATCTTTCTTCTATATATATATTCATTCTACAGGGAGTGCAGAATTATTAGGCAAGTTGTATTTTTGAGGATTAATTTTATTATTGAACAACAACCATGTTCTCAATGAACCCAAAAAACTCATTAATATCAAAGCTGAATATTGTTGGAAGTAGTTTTTAGTTTGTTTTTAGTTTTAGCTATGTTAGGGGGATATCTGTGTGTGCAGGTGACTATTACTGTGCATAATTATTAGGCAACTTAACAAAAAACAAATATATACCCATTTCAATTATTTATTATTACCAGTGAAACCAATATAACATCTCAACATTCACAAATATACATTTCTGACATTCAAAAACAAAACAAAAACAAATCAGTGACCAATATAGCCACCTTTCTTTGCAAGGACACTCAAAAGCCTGCCATCCATGGATTCTGTCAGTGTTTTGATCTGTTCACCATCAACATTGCGTGCAGCAGCAACCACAGCCTCCCAGACACTGTTCAGAGAGGTGTACTGTTTTCCCTCCTTGTAAATCTCACATTTGATGATGGACCACAGGTTCTCAATGGGGTTCAGATCAGGTGAACAAGGAGGCCATGTCATTAGATTTTCTTCTTTTATACCCTTTCTTGCCAGCCACGCTGTGGAGTACTTGGACGCGTGTGATGGAGCATTGTCCTGCATGAAAATCATGTTTTTCTTGAAGGATGCAGACTTCTTCCTGTACCACTGCTTGAAGAAGGTGTCTTCTAGGAACTGGCAGTAGGACTGGGAGTTGAGCTTGACTCCATCCTCAACCCGAAAAGGCCCCACAAGCTCATCTTTGATGATACCAGCCCAAACCAGTACTCCACCTCCACCTTGCTGGCGTCTGAGTCGGACTGGAGCTCTCTGCCCTTTACCAATCCAGCCACAGGCCCATCCATCTGGCCCATCAAGACTCACTCTCATTTCATCAGTCCATAAAACCTTAGAAAAATCAGTCTTGAGATATTTCTTGGCCCAGTCTTGACGTTTCAGCTTGTGTGTCTTGTTCAGTGGTGGTCGTCTTTCAGCCTTTCTTACCTTGGCCATGTCTCTGAGTATTGCACACCTTGTGCTTTTGGGCACTCCAGTGATGTTGCAGCTCTGAAATATGGCCAAACTGGTGGCAAGTGGCATCGTGGCAGCTGCACGCTTGACTTTTCTCAGTTCATGGGCAGTTATTTTGCGCCTTGGTTTTTCCACACGCTTCTTGCGACCCTGTTGACTATTTTGAATGAAACGCTTGATTGTTCGATGATCACGCTTCAGAAGCTTTGCAATTTTAAGAGTGCTGCATCCCTCTGCAAGATATCTCACTATTTTTGACTTTTCTGAGCCTGTCAAGTCCTTCTTTTGACCCATTTTGCCAAAGGAAAGGAAGTTGCCTAATAATTATGCACACCTGATATAGGGTGTTGATGTCATTAGACCACACCCCTTCTCATTACAGAGATGCACATCACCTAATATGCTTAATTGGTAGTAGGCTTTCGAGCCTATACAGCTTGGAGTAAGACAACATGCATAAAGAGGATGATGTGGTCAAAATACTCATTTGCCTAATAATTCTGCACTCCCTGTATATATATCCACATTATATGTTTTAACCCCCTTATATGTGCATCTAACATACAATAACATCAGAACACACTGGCTTTGTTCGTTTTTTTATAAGTCCCAGTGTTGTCAGTGCTGCTTAGATCAATAAAGTTTTTTGCCTGCGTTCCACGGTGGAACGCACATGCGCGTTGGACGCCGGCGAATGGTATGTCATCACGCCGGCGCCCGCGCGCATGCGCAATTGCACAGAAAGGACGCCACCCGGCATATTTAAATGCCGGTTAGAGAAGACTATGAATCGCTCCTGAGGAAGTCTGATTAAGAACAGACGAAACGCGTTGAGCAAACCCGGGGAATTGGATCAGCTGATGGTGAACTGTTCTATCTGTCCTTGCTACAGCTTCTATACAGATGTCCACAGACTGCTAAGACCGGGAGACTTAGCCTATTATAGGCATCAGCACTTTAGCACATATTGATTTTGTCAATTGTGCCACACTGTTTGTGAGTGTTTTTATTTATATGTTTTTTATCACTTTGGATTAAAAGTTTGCACTATGATGTTTTCTCTTTTTATATCTTTTATGTGAATATCCTCATTTGCTCGCTGGAGGGTAACTATATCCAGTATTTACATTTGGTGATAAGTGGCGCCCTATTTCTGTATAGCATATACAGTTTTGTTTTTTGCACATTTGGTTAAGGGATACAGGGAGTGCATCCCTATATATAGTGGCTTGCCTGCGCTTCCTAACGGTCAGTTCTTTCACAATCCACTCTCTGTTTACTGTAGTATCATGTAATGTTTTTTGATCAGTTAACAGAATTTTGGAACCGGCAACCGGTAAATATCTGTAACGACAAGACTGGTAAATACCCGGCAACCGGTAAATATCTGTAATGACAAGACTGGTAAATACTCGGCAACCGGTAAATATCTGTAATGACAAGACTAGTAAATACTCGGCACACTGTAAGTATGGAGTAACCGTGCTGTTTGGAGGTGATCCACAAGTTATGCCATTTCTCATACCGTCTCTTTGGCCACAAAATAAACATCTGCACTATTTCACTAGCCGCTGGCTCACGATCAGGGTCTTACCTGAGGTGGGAGTCCGGTAAGCAGAGATTTGTGCTCACCATTGCAGATAAACACAGTCCAAGGTGATAAGGTTAGAAACCACCAGGACTGGGAATCTGTGCACGGGGGCTGTGCATGAAAGGTGCTCCAATTCGCAGTACAGGCAAGGACACAAGCAGAAGGATTGTCAAGGATAAACCAAAGTCAGAGGTCAGGATAAACAAGGAGAGAAGCCAAGGTCAGGAGCTGGGATCAATCTGGAGAACAAGTTTCAGGAGTCAAAACAGGAACAACACCGATCACCAGAATCAAAGAACTGACAGTTTTCAGGGCAAGGCAGTGTTTAAATACCTGGTTGATTAGCGATCTGCCTCAGGTCAAGCACAGGTACCAGCCACAGATGGAGTCCAGCCCCCAGTGCTGCAGACGAAACCAGGAATAACAAAGATAGAGCATACTTAAAAGCTTGAATCTGCTGTGGCTTAGAGGCAGTATAGGAAGCACAAGACCAAAGTTATCCAGGTTCAAATCCCCTGTTGGGCACCTCTAAGCCTGGATGTTACAGTAACATGCTCACCTTAATCCAGTGATTTTAGCAAGACTCTGCATGTATGATCACACTCATGATACAATGTTGCTTGAGGCAGATAGACACCAATTACTATATTCTATCTCTGACTGGATATCCTCCTGCATTCTGAAACTTAATCTTTCTAAAACTGAGCTTTTTATTTTTCCTCCTCATAACATTGATCCACCTTTTTCACTCTCCATGCAGGCTGATGGTGCCTGCCTCACCCCATCCTTTCGAGCTCGCTATCTTGGTGTCACCTTTGATCCTGGCCTCACCTTTGTGCCTCATGTCCAGTCTGTTGCTAAAACCTGTCGATTCCAACTTAAAAACATTGCCCGCATACGCCCCTTTCTTACGCAAGATGCTGCCAAGGAGCTTGTTCATGCTCTAGTAAACTCTTGCATCGATTACAGTAATTCTCTCCCAATCGGTTTTCCCAGAAGCCGTACTGCCCCCTACAATCTGTGGTGAATGCTGCTGCCAGGCTGATCTTTCTCTCCTCTCACACCTCACCCCTCTGTCGATCCTTACACTGGCTTCCTGTCCCCCACAGGTGTCAATTAAAAATACTAACCCTTCCCTATAAAGCTCTAACCAACTCTAGCCCTTCTCACATTTCCTCCCTGATTCATAGGTATACCGCCTCTCGGTCTCTCTGCTCTACTGGCGACCTTCTCCTTTCTGTTGCTCGCACCCTTACTGCAAATTCACGCCTGCACGACCTCTCACGGGCGGCTCCTTTCCTTTGGAACAGCCTGCCTCCCCTGTCAGACTCTCCCCTAGTCTTCAATCCTTTAAGAAGTCCCTCAAAACCCATCTTTTCAGGAAAGCTTATGGCCTCTAAGAGTAACTTCTATCTCTCAAACTCTCTCCTAGGTCGCCACACTCCACTATCACCTCCAGTTGTGCTACTTTCCCACCATGTCTATTTGCCGTCTCTCTATATACCCTTCCTATTGTGTTTTTATACCCCACCTCCTATAGACTGTAAGCTCGTTTGAGCAAGGTCCTCCACTACCTATTGTTCCTGTTACATTTTGTTATTGTCTCAGTTGGTAAATTCCCCTTTTATTGTAAAGTGCTGCGGAATAAGCTGGCGCTATATAAATAATAACAAATAATAATAATAGACATTGCTTTACAGGAAATGATTCTCTAATCTGCTGGTCCATCCATGAGGGATTTGCAGTTTTTATCCAGGTTATTGATAACAAGTATAACGTAAGAATAGTAAAAGTAGCTAAACAAAAGTAGTGTATGATATCCTTAAATGTGAGTAACTCCTAATCGAGAGTCAGCCACTTTGTCAGGAGGATGCTCATTATCCAAGCTAGGTATAACAAATAGCAAAGGCTTATACAGCGCAATTAACACCATAAGTTGTATATTATTGTATCACGCTGGGTAAACCACCTAGTCCCCACCTCACCATTAATGCCTCTGCATGTGCCAGTGGAGGCCGAAAGAGCCTTATTAGTGACCCCCACAGTGCCGAGCACAGCGCGTCATACAAAGTGTTGGCACCCCGGAATATTGGGCGGTAGGTAACTATAGAGGTTGGCATTCTAGGTTAGATATAGGAGAGGGAATGGTAAATAAAACATTTAACTAGAAGCAAACACTTAAACAGTATGTCCATGGTATGTGGATGTGCAGCTGCTGTCGCTATCTGAGTAGTTCTCAGGGTATGAGTGCAGTCCCATGGATTTGCAGCTTTTATCACCCTGGAGAAACGGAAATTATTAATATATTGGGAAAATCGTTACATTTTCAGGGTTATTCATTAATGTGTAAATTGCTGTGAATTTAAAGAAAATAATTAAGTCGGCTGTTTTGGCCTCAAATGTGAAATTATTTAAAATTCCTTAAAATTCCTTCTTTACTAAATAACAGTGTCTGAATGCGCTGGTTACGTCTCCAGTACTCAGAGTAAAGTTCTGGCAATATTGGTTTCCATGGCAACAGGTGTTAGACATTGCTGCATATAGTCTTGGGGATGCACAATATTTTAAAGGGTCTCGGTGCCAGGCGATTCAGCAGGCTGTGGGCTTAGTGTCGACATTTCTAGCCACTTCTAGCCACAGACAGTATCAATCAATTAATTTACCAACACAGGGAAATTATCAATCTACATATATACAGAGATTGCACCGGCAGATAGCTAATTCGCCTGTCTGTATGCCCATAAAGAAAGCAAAAATTAATTTTCCATTATTTGCTTTAAAAAGTAGTCTCATATTCCCTACACATTCCTAACTCACTATTAGTCTTTACTGCTCCCACTGGGAGGCTATTCCGGGTATCTACTACCCTTTCTATATCACTGTTGCAGCTCCCACTGGAAGGCTATTCCAGATATCCACTAACCTTTCTATATCACTGTTAGCCTTTACTGCTCCCACTGGAAGGCTATTCCAGGTATCTACTACCCTTTCTATAGCACTGTTACCGCTTCCGCTGGAAGGCTATTCCAGGTATCTACTACCCTTTCCATATCAGTGTTACTGCTCCCACTGGAAGGTTATTCCAGGTATCTACTACCCTTTCTATATCACTGTTACCACTCCCACTGGAAGGCTATTCTGGGTATCTATAACCCTTTATTTATCACTGTTACTGCTCCCACTGGATGGCTATTCCAGGTATCTACAACCCTTTCTATATCACTGTTACTGCTCCCACTGGAAGGCTATTCCTGGTATCTACTACCCTTTCTATATTACTGTTACTGCTTCCACTGGAAGGCTATTCCTGGTATCTACTACCCTTTCTATATCACTGTTACTGCTCACACTGGATGGCTATTCCAGGTATCTACTACCCTTTCTATATCGGTGTTACTGCTCCCACTGGAAGGCTTTTCCAGGTATCTACTACCCTTTCTATATCACTGTTACTGCTTCCGCTGGAAGGCTACTCCAGGTATCTACTGCCCTTTCTATATCACTGTTACTGCTCACACTGGATGGCTATTCCAGGTATCTACTACCCTTTCTATATCGGTGTTACTGCTCCCACTGGAAGGCTTTTCCAGGTATCTGCTACCCTTTCTATATCACTGTTACTGCTCCCACTGGAAGGCTATTCCAGGTATCTACTACCCTTTCTATATCACTGTTACTGCTCCCACTGGATGCAGGGCCGGTGCAAGGATTTTTGCCGCCCTAGGCAAAAGTAAAGTTTGTCGCCCCACCCCCCATGTGACATCACAATGCTCCACCCATATGATCTGCCATGTTAACTAACGCCAGTGCTGCAGTTTACATTAAAAGGCCTGCAGGGACAGGCTATAGACACCAGAACAACTACATTAAGCTGCAGTGGTTCTGGGGACTATAGTGTCCCTTTAATGTGAGGTAAATTAGAGATTAGTGCCACGAATAATATACTAGATTGCCTACTTACAACCAGATGAGGATGATGATGGGCTCTGGCTGCCGTCTGGCTCCACTGGTCTGGTGTACAACAGGCTCTCTGGAGGCGGTTTGTAACTGTGGTCACAAAAATCACTGTTCTGGGAGAACGGGAAGCAGCTCCATTTTTTTGAGGGCCCTTTACACAGCTCAAGGTCTGGGTCCCAGGGTCCACTTTCATGTTCCACCAATGAGTTTGTTCACAGGGGGTGGAGTGTGTAGGGGATGTCCTGATATGTGTGTAAGGAATACATTGTGTGAATCTGTGTTTGTATGTGTAAGGGCTGCAAGGTGTGCTTCTGTGTATGTACGGGATGCAGTGTGTGCGTCTGTAAGGGGTGCATAGAGTGTGTGTAAGGGGTGCATTGAGTGTGTGTAAGGAATGCATTATGTGTTTCTGTGTGTGTAAGGAATGCATTGTGTGTTTCTGTGTGTGTAAGGGATGCATTGTGTGTAAGGGTTGTATTGTTTGTGTGTGTGTGTGTGTGTAATGCATTGTGTGTTTTTCTGTGTGTAAGGGGTGCATTGCATGTGTGTGTGATGGATGTCAATCTCTCCCGCCTCCCTTGTCACTCTCTTCTCCCCCCTCTCCCTCCCTTGTCACTCTCTTCTCCCCTCTCTCCCTTGTCACTCTCTTCTCCCCTCCCCCTTCCCACTCTCATTGACCTTCCCTCCCCTGTCACTCTCACCCCCGTCAATTTCTTCTCCCCCCACCAATTTCTTCTTCTCCCCCCTCCCCTACCAATTTCTTCTTCTCCCCCTGCCCTACCAATTTCTTCTTTCCCCCCTCCCCTCCCAATTTCTTCTCCCACCCTCCCAATTTCTTTCCCCCCCTCCCCAAACAATTTCTTCTTCTCCCACCCTCCCATTTTCTTCTCCACCCTCCCCTCCCCCTCCCATTTCTTCTTCTCCTCTCACCCCTACCAATTTCTTCTTCTCCCCCCCCTCCCCACCAATTTCTTCTTCTCCCCCCTCCCATTTCTTCTCCCCACCCTCCCAATTTTTTCTCCCCCCTCCCGTGCCAATTTCTTCTTCTCCCACCCTCCCCATTTCTTCTCCCCTTTCCCCTACCAATTTATTTTTCTCCCACCCTCCCCATTTCTTATCCCCATCCCCTCACCATTTCTTCTTCTCCCCCCTCCCCTTTCAATTTCTTCTTCTCCCCCTCCCCTACCAATTTCTTCTTCTCCCCCCTCCCCTACCAATTTCTTCTTCCCCCCCCTCCCCCCTCCCAATTTTCTTCTTCCCTGACAATTTCTTCTCCCCCCTCCCAATTTTTCTTCTTGCCCCTGACGATTTCTTCTTCCCCCCTCCCCTCCCAATTTCTTCCCCCCCCTCCTGACAATTCCTTCTCCCCCTCCCCTCCCAATTTCTTCTCCCCCCCTCCCCATTTCTTCTCCCCCTCCCTCCCAATTTCTTCTTCTCCCACCCTCCCAATTTCTTCCCCCCCTCCCTACCTCAGTTGTAGCATGGCTGAGCCCAGTATAGTCCGCGGGTACAGGTAGCTTTTGTTTCCTGTACCCTGCCGGACTAACAGGAAGTGCACACTCAGTGTGCACTTCCTGTTAGTCCGGCCGGGTACAGGAGACAGATGCTCCCTGCTGTACCCGCGGACCATCATGATGCAGGGCTCGGCCACGCTACAGGGAGGGAGTGACAGGAGGGAGCGCTGAGCGCTTCCCTCCTGTCAGCCCCTCTCCTCAGGCTGCGCCCGGGCGGTCCGCCCTCATGGACGCACCGCCTGGGCAAAGCTGCAGCCGCCTGAGGCTCTCTACAGAGCGCTTGGGCGGCTGCAGCATGGGGGGCTGCCTAGTCCGCCTAACAGGTGGCGCCGGCCCTGACTGGATGGCTATTCCAGGTATCTACTACCCTTTCTATATCACTGTTACTGCTCCCACTGGGAGGCTATTCCAGGTATCTACTACCCTTTCTATATCACTGTTACTGCTTCCGCTGGAAGGCTATTCCTGGTATCTACTACCCTTTCTATATTACTCTTCTACAGTGAGTAGAAGCGACAGAAAGCTGTACAGATGAGGTATTTTTCCAAGTGGCTGGGAGACAGATAACGAGTAATTAAAGGGTTATAAATGCTGGGAATTTTCTGCATTTGGGAACAGTTCCATCAATGACTCGGAGAGTTCTCTCCTTGTACAGGAACTGGTACAGGATGGGTTACAAGGTTTAAGACATTGCTCTCCCTGTGTCCTTCTCTCTTTCAAATAATAAATTGGAATCCAGATTGGTGGCTGATGGCAGGGGATGTGAAATAATTCAGAGCCACGGCACATAAAGGAGAGAGAATGTTCAATATGTTCTGCTCCTGTGCGATTGTCAGCCCACCCGCTGTGTGCATCCCAAGGGCAAGGACTGAGCTCCAGGGACAGAATATAGACTCCATACGGAGATCCTGGCCTGTGAAATGGCACAGCTAGAGCGTGGGATGATAAGGCTGGAATCAGGTATTGCATGCTAAGTCATGAACATTTTCTCACTTCAAGCATGGCTTCCCATCATACCACCCATCCCATCCTGTCATACATCCCATAATGCCACCTATCCCATCATATCGTACCTCCCATTGTACATCCCATCCCACCCACAGTACATCCCATTCTTCATACCTTACATCCCATCCCATAATACATCTCATCGTGCATCCCATCATCCTATCGTACCTTCCATCCCATCGTAAT